AATAAATTAGTATATAAGCTGAATTACTGAAGCACTTACATCACTTGGGTGATAACAAGGGGAGAGAATACACATAAAAATGGAATCACTAAATTACCATTACTTTTTTCCCAAATCCATTCCTAATCCCCTAAATAGTTCTCTGAATTATAAATCCCCAATATACATTCCTATACCAAACACAAAAAAAAGGTTAAAAAAACTAAAAACCTCCCTTCTGTTAGAGTTACTTAGGGAAGTCACCCCCTTTTGCTGACCTTCTTTATACAAGTTTCAAAATAAGCTACTTCAAAGCAAAGCATAAGATCTTATTCACTTTTATAGAACTTAACCCGGAGCCTAAACAAAGTTGTTGCTATAGAAATCCAGGTAGAAATCTAATTGGCCTAATGGAAGTAAAAGTTGAAATGAGACACGACAAACATTACTTTTCAATATGGTTTAAGCATCCTTTTAGAAGCTTAGTCATAAGAACACTGATCTACAATTAATTATGTAATAGTTAACATTCATTGACCATTCACTAACTACTAAACACCATGCATGTATTAACTCATTTACTAACAATTCTATGGAGTAGGTATTATTATTATTATCTACATTTTATAGATGAGAAAACTGAGCATCAGAAGTGAAGTAAATTGCACAAAGTTAGTTAGCTTATAAATGGCTGAGATGGTATTCAAAAATCAGGTAGTATGATTTCAGTGTTGACACTAATAATTACTATGCTACATCACAAATCAAAGCTCTTGTGTAAAACTCAAAGTGTAAAGGCTAAAGGTTTAAATCTAATATAACTATGTATAAATACGTCTTCTGTATCTATCTATGTGCGCTTTTTCTCTCAAAATGCCTAGCTAGTGCTCTGCATATATTAAGCTTATTAAATGCATAAAAATACAAATACCTACAAGACATAGTTTTCTTAATAGATTACCTGTGATATTCTTTCACAGAACAGTTAATGATTCCTTCACAGAACTGGTTAATAATTTAGTAAGAAGCTTGCTGAGCTGATGATGGGTAAGAAAAATATGTATGAAGAATATTTCCCTTTCCCAGGAAAGTGGATGGCTAAGACAAAAAAAAAAAAAGTATTCCCCTTAAAAGCACATATTGAGGTGCCTAGTTTTCATTTCTGCTTAAAATCTCTCGATTTTATATAATTTCTAAAAGACTTTCACTAAGTGTCATTGACTATAGCACTATTTAGCAAATGTTCCCTCCAATAAAATATGACTATATAGCCAGCAATGCAATGGATTTGTACAACCACCTCAACTGAACCGCTGCCTCACCTACTATTTGCTGTCCTGTGGATTCCAATCTGCCTCAGCTACTAACTGCTGCCCTTTCCAATGCAGCAAAACTATAATGACGGCAACTATTTATCTATCCCAACCCAATTTATACCCACAGTCTCATGTCACTGAAGGCCAACTATTACTGTATCTGGTAAAGGACGGAGTTATCAGAAGTGGAATCCTATCTTTAAGTTAGGAAGCTTTGGTATGTATGGTTGAGACTTTAAGTGAGAACTAGTTACATTATCTCTAAATACTTTTCCTTCACCTACAAACACACACAGGTAATAAATTAACAGCATTCCAATGTTGTACCAGTAAAAGCTGGCCATTAAAAAATGCTATTATCATATTATTAGTTTTAAGTATTAAAAGCTTAAACACTAACCTATAAAAATAATAGTTCAAAGATACTACAGGGAAAAAACGAACACGTAAGTAAAAATACTATCAAAAGAATTGATATGATGATCTACATAAGTAGATAGTCTATCATTTCTTCTGTTGTTACCCTGTTATTCAAGAGAGTTTGTTCCCTTTTCTCAACAAGTGTTATTATTTAGCTATTAATACATTAGTTTACTCTTAACTCATACTAAAATATTAACTTTCTTTTTACTTTATCACTATTATTTTCTTACATTTTACTTATGTTTTATTTTTAATATATTGAGATATCCTCAAGAACCTATCCAGTATTTTTTTTTTAATATTTTGTGGTAATAGGGTTCTTTATGGTTTAAAACAATAAGATTTTAATAGAAATATTAATCAAAAAGCATAA